GGCGTCCTGGACACCGCCATCCCTTCCCTGCCGTACTCCCAGATCGCCTTCACCTACACCGTCGACTTCCTCTCCCAGGTGATGGGGACGGGGGGATGGTGGGCACCTCTCGGGCTGAGGGGTTGGCGCTGTGGAGCCTTCGGCTCTGCCGGGGCGGTGCAGGGGCTTTGGGCGCTGCTGACTTCTCTCCCCTCGGGTGCAGGAGGACCTGATGAACACCATCGGGGAGAGTGCGGCCCAGGGTGGTGCCGGCATCGTCCTCTGGGGCAGCCTCAACTACAGCACCTCCCAGGTGAGTGCGGCGGTGGCACTGTGCCACCCCCTGTGGGGACAACCCCTGCCCCGTTCCCTGGCCGTGCAGGGCTGTGACGCCAGGTGCCGTTGCAGGAGATGTGCCTGAGGCTGAAGGACTACGTGGAGGGGCCCCTGGGCCACTACATCGTCAACGTGACGGCCAGCGCCGATCTGTGCAGCCAGAGCCTGTGCTCCGGCCGGGGCCGCTGCGTGCGCCAGGAGAACGAGCAGGGCTTCCTCCACCTCGACCCCTCACGCTTCTCCATCGACCTGCAAGCTGGCAAGCCCTGGGTGGTGGCACAGAGCCTGGAGCCCATCGACGATGCCTTCCGTCTGGCTGGGGAGTTCCGCTGCCAGTGCTATGGCAAGTGGCAGGGACCTCGCTGTGACACCCAGGGCTTTGCTGAATGAGCTCCCCGCCCGTGCCGGGAACGCCGGGGCAGGCCGGGGGACACCACCCCCTGGCCCAGCACCCTCGCTGTGGGGTTGGGAACTCGACCGCACGGCTGCTAATAAAACCTGTAGGCACCTGCAAGGCTCTCCTTCTGTTGGGCCACAGCGCGTTTTGGGGTGGGAGGGTCCCCTAGGGACAATGGCGGTGCCTCAGGATGCTGCCAAGGGCTGTGCCAGGGGGTCTGGAGCTGTAGTGCCTTGGAGAAGCCAGAAAAAGAAGAGGAAAATGTATGGAAAAGGACAGAGGAAGGCGTGTAGTAGGAGTAGGAGTAAAGGGGGAATGATGGGGAGTGGCCAGACAGTGGAGGTGATTGGGGAGGGAAAGATATGCTTGTGTCACTTTAGCTGGGGGAGCGTGGCCCCCCCAGCCCCTCACCATGAACAGAGGGCTGCGCAGCCAAGGAGCACAGCGTCGCCAGGCAGCGGTGCCAGCAGAGAAACCTTCTCTCTCCCAGGCAGAGGATGAAATAGTCAAAAGTGTTTGTCTACACACCTACGGAGCCTCGCTGCTTGCCCTTAACATCCCTCCCCAGGCAGGCTTGGCCCTGGCCTTGTGCTTGGGCCTGGGCCTGGCTCCCCCCACTCCTGCTTGCTGGGGCAGTGTCTCTGTGTTCCTCGCAGGTGACCTGTCCCCGCTCCCAACTCCTCCCCACCGCATGGCTGACTTTTTGCCCAGGGCTTCCTTGCACAGACATGGGGGGGCTGTGGCCACCTCTGCCTGATTCCTGCTCATGAGGATAGATGGCTGTGGAGCCTGGAGGAGGCGATCCCTGCCTCTGAGCGAGCGGAGCATGCCGAGCTTGTGCTCTCTAGTGCCGAGAAAGCAGGCTGCGCTTTTCTAGAAAGGGTTCTGCTGGTGGCTTCTGCAGGCTTTAGGCAGGGAAATGGATGCCCACGCTGCGGCTCGGCTGTGCAAGTAGGACAGGGCAGTTGGAGAAGGGACATTGTTCCAACAGTTTATTATCAGCCCTGCTGAGCT